CTGGGTGTGTCAGATTATTGAGACACCTCAAGCGAACAGCAGGGTTGAGAAACACTGATCAAATGATCACAAGAGTGTTAAGTTCTCCTAACTAATTTATTTATCTATATATTTCTATTAAAGTATTTCTGTTTGCACTTAAAAAAGAAAAGTATTGAAAAATTTCTGTCAGGACATTGTGCTATCCCTAAAACCCAACTAAATGCAATGCATAATTCAAAATACAGGAAAAATACCTGTGGAATATGGAATGTTTACTATTTTAACTGACATTTTTTGTGCTTCATAGGAGAATTCGTTTCAGCCATCCACTGGCAAATGAAAGTTCACAAAACTACCATAGATAAATAGGTCTGCTGATGGAAATGCAGTACAAGCAACAAAATTATAAAGCATAAACTGATTCAGTTATTTAATGGTTGAATACTTAAAAGGAGAATCACAAAAAATATCTAACGAAAATCTTGTCTTTAACTTGTATTGTGTGCCCCGTGAATAAAGTACTCCACCTAGTGGCTAAAAAGAAAAAAAATGATTTTTCACATGAAGTGGAAGTCCAGGAATTACTCATTCAATTAAACTAATTGTTTTCAAATTCAGTTTGGCATATTTTATAGTCGTGCCCCGTGAATAAAGTACTCCACCTAGTGGCTAAAAAATAAAAAAAATGATTTTTCACATGAAGAGGAAGTCCAGGAATTACTCATTCAATTAAACTAATTGTTTTCAAATTCAGTTTGGCATATTTTATAGGCGATTAAAAGAGATTTTGAATGCCTACTTATCACTGTCAACCGAACTGTTTCACGTGGTTTGTCAAGACAAGATTGAAGTAGGCTACAAGATTCATTCGCCTCATATGAACACAGTTTGTGAAGTATTCTTTGGCTTTTAAAAAAATATATTCTCGGATAACTTTGTGTTGTCCCTCACCACCTTACACTACCGAGAAATCCGAACAATTATTACAGGCTGCCATCTACCGTCTGAAAGTGCTGAAGAACGTTTTGAATCAATTAGCTTCCCTGCTGCTTTCATACACACAACATCATTTATAGCATATGTTTATAGACCTATGTTGTTTATAACGAATCGAATGCCATTGTAATTTATTTTTTATTTTTATAATTGTAGCCTATATATAATTTTGTACTAGGCTATAATCGTATATGCCTATTATTTGTATTTTTTTCTTTGCGCATTTCTGACTAATATGTGTTGCAGAATTTTTAATTCAGTGTTCGGCTCATATGTAAAAATTAGATCGAAAGATCAGAAAAAGTCCACAAACACTGGCCCATAGACCCTCCCCTCAAAAGAAATCAGGACAGAAGAGATCGACGGATCAAAACACCAGGGGCACATTCAAGCTCAAACCGGTGTGCACCGTTTTGCTACGGTTTCCGGTTTGAACGACATGTTTCCTGGAAACGGTGTGCAACGGGGTTTGAGATGCGTTTTCTCTTGTTTGGTGGGTGTGTCAAACATGTCAGCCAAATCAGCAGCAACATGTAGGCTATGTAAACCACGCGGTATTAAAGAGACAGCTTGCACAATGTAATTAACATCCAAATAAATTCACAAGAGCAAGTATATTGTTTGCACATGTTTATTTACATTAAAGGCAAAATAACTGAAATAATAAGAGCTCAAGTATAGATCTGGAACTTCTTTAAGGCTGTCTAAATATCATTTAGTAATTGCAATGTCTTCTGGTCCATATCCCTTCCTTAGGAAGGTGTGCTAAATACTGATTAATGTAGCATAAAAATACTAAACATATTTATATATTTTGCTATTGTATTATGGAGTGAACACCGTTTTTGTCGGGGCTGAACGCAGCCCAGGTGTGAACGGGAATGTGTCTCCCTCCTCTACGTGTGATGCGATCGACTAAAATGCATCTTAATAAGTAAACAGGGCCATAGTTCGTTCTCTTTACATAATGAATTGGTTGCATCAAGCATACAGCTCCTACTGCTAGAAACTGTAACTACACCATCTGCTTTCTTCATTAACGCCATTTAGCTTTGTGTAATCTGATGAAATTCTTCATTCATTCATTTTTTTTTGTCACCACTGAGCTCTTATAAACATGAAATGGACAAGTTTTCTCATTATACTGTATATATATATATATATATATATATATAATATATACACTCAAATACTCAAACAAACAATAACGTCTTATTAAAATCACAGTATTTACAGTGTTTGAGAGAATCAGCCTACAAATACCTTACTTTTAGTTGATTCTACAGGAGAAAATATTTTAACAATAATAAAACCGTAGCTCGCTTGCTCCGTCAAAGGAAAGAAATGCAACATTAGTACTGATATTTGGCATGTGTTGGTATTTTTATTGAGCACAGTGAGCTGAGAGTTTGTGTTCTTACAGCTGTTCAAGCGCAGAAATGTGGCCACAGTGGAGGAGGATGGAACACTGGAGGATGATGGGATGTTGGACGGTGGATACCTGGAATCACAGGCCGCTGGTTGCTGTGAGGTGGGCTCTGTTCCGCCTAAAATGACCTAATATTATTGTATTTTCTTATTGAACTGTTTATAGAACTAGGCTATTAAACAGTCGTAATGGTGAAAACGTGTGATGTTGCCTAACTAACTGTATTTTAAATATAAAAACTTTCCATTTTGAATTTTTACCTCAGGATGCTGAGTTTCTTAGCCTCGCCTCAGCAGCGCAATCTTACATGCATTATATACAGTAGCTATCCACTATTCGCCACTTACTCTAAATGTAATAAATCAAAATAATACTTGCGTTTTGGTGTTTACATAGTCTAGTTATTTTTGGTTACTGATGTTTTAATCATGTTATTTTTCTGGTGTTAATGAAGCGTTAATGTTGAGCCCAAAGGAGTTGGCCCAATTTATTGTCGAGCCCCGGCCCAATTTAAACCCTGTTTATAGGTATATAATATAAATTATATGAATATAAATATATACATGTAAATACTTGAAGCGCTTGGCGTGAGTAAACCAATCATTTCCCCACATACCTACGTCACTATGTGGAAAATTAGCATAATGCCACCCAAATGTTCACGCAAAGAAAGAAGGCGTAACGTATTTATACATAATAAATATACACAGTACACACACATATAGCCTATTAGCCTATGTAAACAAAAACTTTTATTTTGGATGCGATTAATCACACACACACAAAAGACATTATAGATATTAATACTTTTATTAATTATGGCAATTATAATACTTTTTAATAATTTATTAATACTCTTTTTTGTGGTTCTGTTCGCTCTTCTTTTCCCCTTTTATTTCCTCATTGTATATCCTTCAGGTTCTGTAAGCATTACAAAAATGTATACTGAATGGCACAGGAAGTCAGCTGATTTGATTGTAACTAATTTCTTTATTCTCTCAGAATTTTGTATTGTATCTTTTGACTTACTTGACATAAAAAAAAGAAAAAAAAAGTGATGATAAAAACATTTAGAATGTTACAAAAGATTTCTATTTCAGATAAATGCTGTTCTTCTGAACTTTCTATTCATCAAATAAACCTGAAAAAAATATACTGAGCTGTTTTCAACAATAATAATAATAAATGTTTTTTTGAGCAGCAAATCAGAATATTAGAATGATTTCTGAAGGATCATGTGACACTGAAGACTGCAATGATGCTAAAAATCAGCTTTGAAATCACAGGAATAAATTACATTTTAAAATATATTCAAATAGAAAGCAGTTATTTTAAATAGTAAAAATATTTCACAATATTACTGCTTTTGCTGTATTTTGGATCAAATAAATGCAGGCTTGGTGAGCAGAAGAGAATTCTTTAAAAAAAACATCAAAAATCTTACTGTTCAAAAACTTTTGACTGGTAGTGAATAGCATTAAATAAAAACTTTAAAAAGAAAAGGAAAAAAGAAAGCGTGTTGTTGAAATAAGATAGGGGCTTATTAATAAAGCCTAGTATTTAAAAGTCACACGTTTGTTTATTTCTTTCTAAACGGGAGCCTCTTGGGAAAGGAAGGAACAATATGAACGTACTGTACTTCTATCGCTTACACTCTTGTTTTTATTCTCAACAATATGAACCTTTTTCACATTTCTGGGTTTCTCTATGGGAGACTACCACAAATATATTGTTTTGCATTCCCATTTGCTCAAATAGCAAAAGAAAACACCATGATAGTGTTTTCATTACTTTCAAAAAAAGGAAAAAAAAAATAGAGAGACTGATAACGGCAGTCAGAGAACGATGTCAAATTTGAGACGCTTTATATTAGAAACAACCTCGCATTAGCGTTAACTATTTATTTTTTTGTAATTTAAGGCAAAGGTAATATAATACAAAGTATAGAGTTATAAATAATAAAAAAAAAAAAATGAAAATACAAAAAACTTTTGAGGATTTACGATGCTGATGACAAAACGCGTCCTCACAGTCATGTAAGGGCCCATTCTGATTTTGACTACCCTGGATAAGGTTTGTAAACTGTTTGTAAAAGGCTTATTAAAGGCAGAGTAAGTGATTTCTGGTAGCCAATGTTGATATTTGAAATCACCAAAACAAACACGCCCCTACACCATCTCTATCTTTCTGTCGCTGGCTCGGCTAATGTCCGTCCCATGCACTGAACGCACTCTCCTCCACATCACGAGTAGACACGCCCCTTATTGCTGATTGGCTACAAGTTTGTTTTGCGATTCGGCCCGAATCAGTTTTCTAAAGTGTTTTTGAAAAATCACTTACTCTGCCTTTAATGGATAATCATCTCACCCCTCTCCCTAAATAATGCCAAAGTAATGTTACCACATGCGCCGTTTTTATATTATGTGATTACTGTAAACAATCGGCCTACAATTTTTTTTTTTACCAGGAAATCATATTTTAATATAAATATAGTAAATGTCCATATTTGACCTAATGCCGAAATATTTGCCGTAGTCTTGCGTGTGAGCGACGTCGTGCGCTTGGTTGGAGGCGGGGCTAAACAGAGCTGTTCTCAGGCGCCCCGAACCCAGCGTCGCCATTTAGTAAGCTCGGCGACCGCTACAGAAGCATCGTGTGAGAAGAAATCCCTTCAATAATCAGTCCAGATTCCCGAGAAATCAAAACCGCAAGACCACCCGTTGTCGTCCGAAAGGAAAGGGAATCTTATCGTATGTCCGCTATCCAGAACCTCCAAACTTTTGGTAAGACTCGAGATCTCTGAAAACGTATTATTTTATTGTGTGGGGGGAAGGGCGACAGAAAACGACAGTGTTACGTTGATGCTTAGCGAACAAATATTACTGTGACTTCAAAAAAATAATAATTTATTTACCACAAACCCGTTTACCGATTGATTAAAACAAGTAATGTTATCGTATTTAAATTAACGTTTTTTTTGTTGTCGTCGAAAATCGCAGTCAGAAACAGCAACTAGGCCTCGGTTTTTATTCTTGTTTGGTTCGCTCCTAATGTCGAGTATTCGCCTTATTAAAACATCATATCCGTCTTAAATCCATTTTTAAGCACTTTATTAGTTGCTTAGCGTCGAGTTTATCTCGAATTAAATCGAGGTTATGCTCTACCTCGACGACCAACATAACCATTTTAATCGCCAGCTTGTTTTTCTGGACGAGAAACAAAATGGAAGACGCCGGTCGATGACGGTTTATTTTTAGACGTAGCGCGAAACATCTCGATCCTTCTGAGTTTGGATTGATGTCAAGATGAAAGACAACTAACACGTAAAACATAAATCGTTATTTTTACATGGAACTAGATCAAGTCTTGTGATGTATTGTGCTGATCCGGTACACGAATGGTTAACGAGCAGCCAGATCAGACCTGAACTCTATCCTGTTGTTAAAGGAGATGGTTTGCTTTGTTCCAACATGTTCTTGTGAGGCGCCTACAGAAGCAGATTTTACATGTGGAAATGTTTGAGGTGATAGAAATAATTCGATTTGTTGTCTTTAATTGATAGTGCTTTAGGTGACCTAGTTGAAAGATTAACTGAGCTGTTTCAAGTAAATCACACGTGACCTATTACCAGCAAAGCAGGAAATCTGATGCCACAAACATTACTAATGTTGTTTGTTTATCTTTCCGAAGACCCCTTTGCTGATGCAACTAAGGGTGATGATCGGCTCCCAGGTGGGACTGAGGACTACATCCACATAAGAATTCAACAGCGGAACGGGCGGAAGACTCTGACCACGGTTCAGGGCATAGCCGACGACTATGATAAAAAGAAGCTAGTCAAGGCCTTCAAGAAGGTTGTCATTTAAGTCACCCTAAAATAATGCACTTTTATTTGTTTTATGGTTGCATGAGTGGGGCATTTTTAACGTTGCCTTATTTGCATCTTCAGAAATTTGCCTGCAATGGGACTGTGATTGAGCACCCTGAGTATGGTGAAGTAATTCAGCTGCAAGGTGATCAGCGCAAGAACATTTGCCAGTTTCTCACTGATGTAAGTATGAACTCGGTGGCTTTCGGCATATAACCTGTTGGCCTTTTCATGGTAGCTGATTTAATCGACCCATTTCCTTCATTTTACAGATTGAACTGGCCAAAGAGGAGCAGCTCAAAGTCCACGGGTTCTAGAAGCTGATGTGAACTGACCCCTCCCCTCCCCGACTCTTAACCCAACCTACCCTTTTGTTGTGCTGCTGTTTCCCCCTGCAGCCTATACCCGCCCCCCCCAACCCCCATAAAACGACCTGTCCTGTTCAAGCATGGACACACGACAAGGCAAATTATGTGGGATAAATGATTTTTGTTTTTTGTCCCCTCCTTTAGTCATTTTTTTTAGTTCATCTTGTGCTGCTCTGAAGCACATTCCATGTAACATTTTCTGTTTTGTACAAGGTGTTTCAATAAAACTTTCAGATGCCATGTTTTGCACAATCTTTAAGTTGACGGGCGGGATGTGGGTGGGGCAGTTTATGTATTGATTTCTTGGTTCATATTTAAATACCACAGTATAGAATCTGTATTTTTAGTTCTGATGTGGGCCAGCCTGCTTCAGGGTTACATTGGTGTGCCGCTTGTGCACAAAGCACGGCAACCCCATCATGTCTCATTATGCATCTCTAACTGCCTTTTTTTTTTTTACCGTTGTTTTCACTATATGCATAATTTCAATTTTCTAAATTTGTAGTACCATATTTTGTTTTTGGTCTGGAATAAACAATATCCCATATTTTTGATGATCTAATTTCTTAAATGGAAAATATCTTGAATGCAGTGATTGCTTTGGTTGTAATGGCAGTCGATCAAAGGAAACAGTCATGAATTTCAATTAATGTGGTTGTGCTCATGAAAATGTTTTTTTTTTGTTTGTTTTTTTGCTTGTGGATAGTTGGTTTGGCCAAGTCATTTTATCTATGCTTTTTGCTGATAATTTCAATTTTCTAAATTTGTAGTACCATATTTTGTTTTTGGTCTGGAATAAACAATATCCCATATTTTTGATGATCTAATTTCTTAAATGGAAAATATCTTGAATGCAGTGATTGCTTTGGTTGTAATGGCAGTCGATCAAAGGAAACAGTCATGAATTTCAATTAATGTGGTTGTGCTCATGAAAATGTTTTTTTTTTGTTTGTTTTTTTGCTTGTGGATAGTTGGTTTGGCCAAGTCATTTTATCTATGCTTTTTGCTGACTTGAATCCATCATTTAATTTCAGTTTATATATGATGGTTATATATCTCAAAGAAAACTCGTTGGCAAGCTGTGTACATTTATTTTTATTTTTTTGTAATAAGTGCGTAAGCCAGGGGACAAGTCATAACGTGAAGTAAAAGTGAGACAATGACTGAAGTTGAGGGTAAGCTTGCTGAAAGATTAATTTTAGTGGAGTTCTGTGACTGAATCACATTTTATAAGATTTGTTATGCTACCCATTATTAGTTTTTAAGCTATAGAAGATATTCGTGAGCAACCGAGAAAAGGTTTAATAATCAAAATGTTCTAATGTATATTATAGGGACATTAGAAATGATAATCACTCTTTCCAGGTCAAACTTCAAGTCTGAGGTAGCTTTTTCACTGACTTGGAGGAAAAATTAGGTTTTATATGAATCGTGAATTCTCTCGCAGTGCGTCTTCTTTCACTTCAGTTTAGTACAAAGAGACCAATGTAAAAGGCTTATCTTGGTGGATAATCATCTTATTAAATCCCTCTACTAACAAATCGAATGTGAAAGTGCCATAACCACCATTTGTAAGCTGTTTCAAATTGTGGCTGTTTTCTCTTTTGCACAGCAGAGGGCACAACAGTAGTAAATATTACTCTGATGGCATTCAATTATTTTGATGTGTGTATCTTAAATTGCATAACAGGGTGATCCATTCCCAATATATAAATTCTGATATATTTATATATAAATATTTGCAGCCCAGCAATGTTTTAAAGGTAAAAAAAAAAAAAAAAAGTATGCTAAATACTCCAAGCATATTTTTGTGGCTGGTTGTGTGTTCATCTAGACTGCAAGTGGAAAAAAAAAAAGTAATGCAAGTCTAAAAAGGAGTGAAACTCGTAGTAATGCTCTGTTTCTATATGTAAATGACTACAAAACCAATCCTAAGGGAATCTCGGTCATGCATAGATCTCCCATCCATGCTGTACTGATGGCAGTGGCGGCTCGTGGGTTTTAAAATAGAGGCACACTAATTGTATTGGTCTGGGATCCCTGCCGATTA